CCTTCCTTCCTTCCTTCCTTCCTTCCTTCCTTCCTTCCTTCCTTCCTCCTTCCTTCCTTCCTTCCTTCCTTCTTTCCGTCTGTCTTTCTTTCTGTCTTTCTTTCCTTTCACAAGGTCTCGCTCTGTTGTCCAGGCTGGAGTGCAGTGGTGCCGTCATGGCTCACTGCAGCTAGGCATCCTGGGGTAAAGTGATTCCTCCACCTCAGCCCCCTTAGTAGCTGGGATTACAGGCACGTGCCACCATGCCAGGCTAAATTTTGAATTTTCTTGTAGGGGTTTCTCCACGTTGTCCAGGCTGGTCTCGAACTCCTGGGTTCAAGTGATCCCCTGCCTTGGCCTCCCAAAGTGCTGGGGTTATAGACATGAACCACGAGTTTTCTCCTTAATTGAGCAGTGCGTGTGAGTGGGAGATGAGCTAAGGATGTGCTATCCTTTCTACCTACCCCTGTCATCTACTTCTTTCTCCCACCAGACCTCCCTGATGTGAGCACTCACGTCACTTCCTACCTTTATAATTTTCTGTTATGTGTGCTGTCATCTGGCTAATGTCTGCCCCTCACATTTGACTGCAAACTTAAGAGGCCCTAGCTCGGCTGGACTTGTCCCATTCTTTGTCCTTGCCGTACCAGTCCTCTGATGCCTGTAAATGAATGAATGAGTGAATGAATGAATGAACGAACAATCTCACACTTAGCTGTTGATTTCACAGTGCTGCCGCCTTGCTACTTTTAAAATTAGATGCCAACATTACCTTTTTAATTGGGAGATTTTATATAAAAATTCAGGTGTGTGATTTTTCTTGAAAAATCGGAACATTCTGCAACTCAAGATTCAGGAGAGCTCTTGACATCTATTTAAGCGTAGTTGAAAACAAGTGCTCTGACTCATCCCAGCCCTAACCCCTTCATGTCTGTCATCTGCCTGGGCCCTGGAGGCCCAGAATTTACACTTCCTGCTGAATTAATTATGTAACTGTTTGGATTGTAAGGGGACCTGTACATGACTATTATATCCATTCATTCGTTCTTTCATTCACCAGATATTTGAGCACCTACGCATGCTGGCTACTGTGCTAGGTGCTGGGATACAGCAGGGGTAAGATGCGTAGAGTGGAACTTACCATGGGATGGGACTCATGATTTCTAAGGGAGGAATAAATGGTGACAGATGTGATGTTAGGTGACAGGGAAAGGGAGTCACAGCATGGTGATGGGGTTGCCCTCCTGTTGGGGTGTGGGAGGGAAGGCCATTTGAGGAGGTAGCATCGTAGTCAAGGTGGCGGATGCCATGATGGAGCACTGCCCAAGGATGGGAGAACCCTGAGGAACAGAGGTTTTCTTTTAGAGACAGGGTATTGTTCTGTTGCCCAGGGTGGAGTGTCGTGGCACATTCGTAGCTCATGCATGAGATCCTGGGCCCAAGTTCAGCCGGGAACACCTCTTGTCTCAGCCTCCCAAGTAGCTGGGACTACTGGCACTTACCACCACTTCTGGCTAATTTTCTAAAATTTTTTTTTTGAGACAGAATCTTGCTCTGTCACCAGGCGCCAGGCTGGAGTGCAGTGGCGTGATCCTGGCTCACTGCAACCTCCGCCTCCCGGGTTCAAGTGATTCTCCTGCCTCAGCCTCCCGAGTAGCTGGGACTGCAGGTGGACACCACCATACCCAGCTAATTTTTGTATTTTAGTAGAGGCAGGGTTTCACTATGTTGGCCAGGATGGTCTTGATCTCTTGACCTCATGATCCACCCACCTCGGCCTCCCAAAATTTTGGGATTACAGGCATGAGCCACCATGCCCGGCCTTCTAAATTTTTTTTTTTTTTTTTTTTTTGAGATAGGCATCTGACTGTGTTAACCAAGCTGGTATCTATCTCTTGGCCTCAAGTGATCCTTCCACCTCGGCCTTCCAAAGTGCTGGGATTACAGGCATGAGCCACCATGCCTAGCTGAGCATCTTGCTGTGTTAACCAAGCTGGTATCCATCTCTTGGCCTCAAATGATCCTTTGACCTCAGCCTCCCAAAGTGCTGGGATTACAGGCATGGGCCACCATGCCTGGCTGAGCTGAGATTTTGAAGACATTCCAACAGCTCCCCTTTTTGGGGGCCTGCCCCTGGGTGGTGACCCAGTTAGGTGCTTCCTGTTAGTGTTTCATTCTACCTCCATCCATAAAAGATCGTGATCACTTTCCCATTTTACAGATGAGGAAGCTGAGGGTCAGAAATGGGGCTCAACTTTTTTTTTTTTTTGAGATAGAATTTCACTCTGTCACGCTGGCTGGAGTGCAATGGCCCAATCTCAGCTCACTGCAACCTCTGCCTCCCAGATTCAGGTGATGTCCTGTCTCCCAAGTAGCTGGGATTACAGGCATGCACCACCACACCTGGCTAATTTTTGTATTTTTAGTAGAGACGGGGTTTCACTATGTTGGCCAGGAAGGTCTCGAACTCCTGACCTCATGATCTGCCTGCCTTAGCCTCCCAAAGTGCTGGGATTAAAGGCGTGAGCCACCACACCCGACCAGTTTTTGTATTTTCAGTAGACACAGGGTTTCACCATGTTAGCTATGCTGGTCTTGAACTCCAACTCCTGGCCTCGTGATCTACCTGCCTCAGCCTCCCAAAATGCTGGCATTACAGGCATGAGCCATGGCACTCAGCCTATGTAGCTCAGCTTTATTGTGGCCACATAGCAAATCAATGAGAGAATCAGGATTGGAACCAGGGATTTTTTTACTCTAGCAGTTGTACGCTCGATCACTAGATCATTTCTCCGTCTATCCGTTTATCCATCCATACATATGTTTATTGACTTAGCAGCCGCGCGTTACCCACCACATGGAAGGCACTATACCAGGCCCTGGGGTTGCGCTGTACAGATCCGAATCACAGCTGCTGTGGGCGGGAGATTTGGCACAAAGTGGTGGGAGCATCAGTGACAGGGATGGCAGGAAGGGCACCAGTGCTCTATCAGGAGCTTCCTGCTTTGCTCTCTGCTCTCCTTCCAGCCCAGATGCCGCACCTGCCGCTTCCCCTGTGGGGGCTGCTCCTCACCCTCCATCCTGTTTGCCTGGCTTAAGTCTAATACCGTAGTGGGTGTGTTTGTTGAGAGCTTCATGTGTGCCAGGCACTGTGCTAAGGTCTTCCTAGCTGCCTGTCCCCCTGGTGACACAAGAGGAAATGCACATAGACAGTCCAGGGACTGGTCCAGGTCACCTGTGCAGAAGGACAGAGCCAGGATGTGAGCTCACGTTTGTTAAACTGCCCACGTTCGAAGTCAGAGCTTGGAGCTCTGGCATTTCCTCAGAAACGCTTTTTTTTATTTTTTTAAGACAGAATTTCGCTGTGTTGCCCAGGCTGGAGTACAGTGGCGTGATCTTGGCTCACTGCAACCTCCACTTCCTGGGTTCAAGTGATTCTCCTGCCTCAGCCTCCCAAGTAGCTGGAATTGCAGGTGCCTACCACCATACCCGGCTAATTTTTTGTATTTTTAGTAGAGACAAGGTTTCAGTGTATTAGCCAGGATGGTCTTGATCTCTTGACCTCGTGGTCTGCCTGCATCAGCCTCCCAAAGTGCTGGGATTACAGGCGTGAGCCACAGGTGGTACGCCTGGCCCTAGGGGTTTTTTTTTTTTTTTTTGAGACGGAGTCTCGCTCTGTTGCCCTGGCTGGAGGGCAGTGGCGCTATCTCAGCCCCCTGTAATCTCCGCCTCGTGTTCAAGCAATTCTCCTGGCTCAGCCTGCCTAGTAACTGGGATTACAGGCACGCACCACCATGCCTGGCTAATTTTTGTATTTTTAGTAGAGGTGGGGTTTCACCATGTTGGCCGGGTTGGTCTTGAACTCCTGACCTCAGATGATCCACCTGCCTTGGCCTCCCAAAGTGCTAAGATTACAGGCATGAGCCTCTGTGCCCGGCTTACTGTAACCTCTGCCTCCTGTGTTCAAGTGATTCTCGTGCCTCAGCCTCCCAAATAGCTGAGACTACAGGCGTGCTCCACTACACCCGGCTACTTTTAGTAGAGACATTTCACCATATTGACCAGGCTTTTTTTTTTTTTTTGAGACAGAGTCTTGCTTTGTCGCCAGGTGCCAGGCTGTAGTGCAGTGGCGCGAGCTCAGCTCACTGCAACCTTTGCCTCCCGGGTTCAAGCAATGCTCCTGCCTCAGCCTTCCAAGTAGCTGGGACTACAGGCACGCACCACCATGCCCAGCTAATTTTTTTTTTTTTTTTTTAGTGGAGACGGGTTTCACCATGTTGGTCTTGATCTCTTGACCTCATGATCTGCCTGCCTCGGCCTCCCAAAGTGCTGGGATTACAGGTATAAGCCACCGCGTGCGGCCAGGCTGGTCTTGAACTCCCGACCTCAGGTGATTCCAACTGCCTAAGCCTCCCAAAGTGCTGGAATTAGCAGGCATGAGCTACCGAGCCCTTCCTGGAATGTAGTAACCTTTGATTGGCATCCGTTGACGGTGGGAGATTCTGTTTTTACGATCCTTCACTAGGGGAGGGGTCTTGCTGAGCAGTGCCTCTCAAGCTTCCTGGAGACAGACTAGGTGCTTAATGTTTCCAGTCTGTGCTGGATCAGCCCTGTATACAGGTTGTGCTTCATGTTATTATTTGGTTGGATAATAACAGACTCATCTAAACCGTGTTCAGCAAGGTGTTATGTTCAGCACAGGCTCGGATGGAACAGGGATGGCAGGTTGGCAGGTTGTCATCCCCTGAAAAAGTATGAGTTTCTGGGCTTGCGTTCTGTGTACTGTACTTATCAGCCAGCCCCAGTCCGCAGATGCTTTGGGTAGCACCCTTGTAGATCACCTAATCTGGACCCATTCCTTTTTTTTTTTGAGACGAATTCTTGCTCTGTTTCCTAGGCTGGAGTGCAGTGACGCCATTTTGGCTCATTGCAACCTCCACCTGCTGGGTTCAAGCATTCTTCTGTCTCAGCCTCCCAAGTAGCTGGGATTACAGGTGTGAGACACCACGCCCAGCTAATTTTCATATTTTTAGTAGAGATGAGTCTCACCTTACTGGCTAGGCTGGTCTCAAACTCCCAACCTCAGGTGATCCACCTGCCAAAGTACTGGGATTATAGCTGTGAGCCACCATGCCTGGCCTAATCTGGGCCCATTCTTTCATTCTGGAGGTCTAGAGAGGGATAGGGATTGGCTGGAAACCCTGGAGGAAGGGTCTGGAACCCAGGTCTCTGGAGTCTTCATGTACTAAATTGACTCCCCTTGGAGGGTTTCTTTTTGCCTTGGCATTCGAGGGGACCAGAGTATCACCAAGACACACCTTCCCTTTCACTTGACTGAATTTAGGATGCTTTTAGTTGCAAACACTGTAAACCCAGCTCAAAGTGGTTGAAACAAATTGAAATGTCCAAGGGTGGAATTGTCTTCAGGTACTCCTGGGTTGAGGTGTCAAACCAATCCTCCAGGGTTAGGGTTGGGGTTGGAGTTGGGGTTAGGGTTAGGGTTAGAGTTAGCATCTGACTCTATCTAGCTCTCAGATCCTCTTTCTTTTGCATTGATTTTACTGTGAGACTGGCTAGGGTTGGCAGAGATGACCCCAGAGCAGGGGTAGGCATGCTTTTCTGTAAAGGGCCACATAGTAAATATTTGAGGCTTTGCAGGCCATATGGTGTCTGTCTGGTGCAGCAACGTGACTCAGCTCTGCTGTTACAGTATAAAATCAGCAGGACTGGATATGTAAATGAATGCGTATGGCTGTGTGCCAATAAAACTTTATTCATTGACACCGAAATTTGAATTTCTTGTAATTTTTGTGTCTTACAAAATATTCTTCTTTTTTTTTTATTGTAAAAACCATCTGGGTATGGAGACTCATATCTGTAATCTCAACACTTTGAGAGGTTTAGGTGGGAGGATCACTTGAAGCCAAGAGTTTGAGAACAGCCTGGGCAACGTAACGAAACCCCATCTGTATATTTAAAAAAAAAAAAAAGTAAGAGCTATTAGATCACAGGTGGAAGAGGCTGCTGAATTTGGCCTGTGGGCACCGAGCTTCCATCTTCCCAGCTCAGCAAGCATGGCAGAAAGTGTGTCTTTCCCAGTAGTTGGGGGGAAAAGTCCCAGGGCAGACTCTCATTGGACAGACTTGGGTCACATGCCCTTCCTTGAGCCAGTCAGAGGCAGAGGGACTTGGTGCTTTCAGGGGATTGGTCACTGGCAGACACACCCTGAATGCTGAGGGCCGGAAGAGGGGGACACCCAAGGGAAAAGCCACACTGTTGTTGAAGTTGGAGGCAGTGGGTGCCTGATGGGTGGAAGTCACGTAAGCCCTCTGCAGAGGTGGCAGTGGGGCTGGGTTGTTAGCTGTGCCGTAAAAGTGCTTTCTGATTCTTCCAGGTGACAACATCCGGGAATTCTTGCTGAGCCTCAGATACTTTCGAATCTTCATCGCCCTGTGGAACGTCTTCATGATGTTCTGCATGATCGTGTGAGTCCGGCCTGCCCTTCCCCTTTAGTGTCGTCTCCTTAGCCTCATTCTGCAGGATGGCCCACCCAATGGCCACTCTCTGTCCATTGAGTCATCACTTTTGTATTCTGCTTTCTGCTTTTTTTTTTTTTTTTTTTTAAAGATGGAGTCTCTCTCTCTGTTACCCATGCTGGAGTGTAGTAGCTCACTGCAACCTCTGCCTCCCTGCTTCAAGCGATTCTCCTGCCTCAGCCTCCTGAGTAGCTGGGATTATAGGCATCCACCACCACGCCTGGCTAATTTTTGCATTTTTAGTAGACACAGGGTTTCACCATGTTGGTCAGGCTGGTCTAGAACTCCTGACCTCAAGTGATCCACCTGCCTCGGCCTCCCAAAGTGCTGGGATTACAAGCCTGAGCCACCGTGCCCAGCCCTACTTTCTGTTTTCAAAATAAGTGAGGGAACCACTATTCGAAGGGGTTACACTCTGTCTCTGCATCCCCACTGAGCTAGGCTGGAACTTTGATTACAACATGGAGTTCTCCAGCCCCTGGCTATGCCTGGCACCTCTGCAGGGGCTGCCAGGAGATTCTTTCCCTGAGCCCATGGCCCTGTCACCTCTCACCAGCTCTGCTGCATCTGCCGCGGTGGAAAATGTGGTTTAAATTCCAGCATGCTGCCAGATCCTGCTCCAGCTGGGCTGGAAGCCAGCAGAAATGTATTCTGACTTTATTGCTTTAAATTCTGTCTTTTATTTTCTCATTAGGCTGAGAAAACTCAAGCAGATTACCTTTCCATCTGGCATTGGGGCCATAATTCTGATACTACTGTTACTGAATTGTGAGATTTGCTGTAAATGGATTTAGGAACACATTCTATGGGAGAATCTGGTGTTCTTGGCTTCTGTGGGTCCATCCCTGCATACTTCCCCCAAAAAGGAAGAGGACAAAAAGTTGGCTATTCTGAGTAATTGGGACTCCGAATGCGGGGTGGCTGGGTAGCCTGCACCCCATTGGCTGTTTGAGGAGATGCTCCCAGGACATAGGAGAACTGGGGAGGGTGGCATTTCACCCTCACCACGAGGACCACAATGTATTCCCAGAAAGGCTCTTGCCAAGGTATCTTACCTGGCAGAGAGGATCTGAGAGCACGTATGAGGCTTGCCTAGGAACAAAGAAGGCTTGTGAAGAGATCAAGGAACTTGCATGAAAGTGTAGGAAGGGCCAGGTGCGCTCACGCCTGTAATCCCAGCATTTTGGGAGGCCAAGACAGGCGGATCACTGAGGTCAGGAGTTCGAGACCAGCCCGGCCAACGTGGTGAAACCCAAATTAGCGGGGCGTGGTGGCATGTGCCTGTAATGCCAGCTACTCAGGAGGTTGAGGCAGGAGAATCACTTGAACATGGAAGGTAGAGGTTGCCATGAGCTGAGATCACACCACTGCACTCCAGCTTTGGCAACAGAGTAAGTGAGACTTCGTGTCAAAAAAAAATAAGTGTAGGAAGTATAAGCAGGACTCATGGAAAGTGGACCTTCTTCGTGCAGCTTTTGCCTCTCTAGATTTCCTTTCATTCACAAGGATCTGTCCTGGATGATGCTTTGGGGTTACGCCTGAGGTAAGGACAGCCACAGTCCCTGCCCTCAGCAAATGCACTTGATGTGACATAGACAAGCAGGTGGGAAACCGTCAGTTGTGAGGTGGCGCCTGACAGGGGAGCTCCCAGTTTCAAAGGTGGTTGGGGAAAGACTCTCAGAGAAGGTTCTGTTTAAATCAAGACCTAAGTTGGCTGTGGTGGCTCAGGCCTGTAATCCCAGCACTTTGGGAGACCACGGTGGGAGAATTGCATGAGCCCAGGAGTTCCAGATCAGCCTGGGCAACATGGTGAAAACCCCTCTACCAAAAATAAAAAAATTAGCTGAGTGTGGTGGCATGCACCTGTAGTTGCAGCTCCTCGGGAGGCCAAGGTGGGAAGATCACTTGAGCCCTGGAGGCAGAGGTTGCAGTGAGCTCAGATCCTGCCACTGCACTCCAGCCTGGGCAACAGAAGAAGACCTGGTCTCCAAAAAAATAATAATAAATAAATCAAGACCTAAAGGACAAGAAGACGTTTGCAATTTCCAGAGTTGGAGAAAAGCATGGTGGCACAGGAGGTAGCAGGTGCGAAGGTCTTGGGGCAGGGCAGACGTCCGCATGCTTCCCTCATTCTTGTCTTTTCCATTCACCTGCTTGATCATTCTCTCCTGTTTGACCAACATCTTCACTCCCCCGTCTGCCAGCCTGTGACCAGAACAGCAGCGGGGGGGCATCCTCCCAGCTCAGCTTTCCAAGACCAGTGTGGTCTGTAGACCGGGGTCCAAATTTGGTTTCCTGGGGCAGAGTCTGATTGACCCACCTTGGTGTCACTCAGGTCCATTTTGGGTGGGGTTCTTGATTCTGCCCTAACCACTTAGGTCAGGAATCATCAGACCACAGGCCACATCTACCCACTGCCTGTTTTTGTGAATGCATTTCACAGAAGTTCATGTGTGTGGCTGCTTTTGTGCCACAGAGGCAGAGCTAAGTTGTGTGACAGAGACCACCTGGCCTGCAGAGCCAGAACTGGTAGTAAACAGTGGCCTGTTACAAAGAAAATGGTCCTGACCCAGGCCAACGCTTTCACTGGGGGCCATGGGTAAGGGAAGATTCTCTCAAGAAAGGGCTGTCTCGGGGAGGCAGTGTCTGGCTTTCCCAGGATATTAAAAACTGGAAATCGGCCGGGCGCAGTAGCTGATGCCTATAATTTCAGCACTTTGGGAGTCTGAGGCAGGTGGATCACCTGAGATCAGGAGTTTGAGACCAGCCTGGATAACATGGTGAAACTTTGTTTCTACTAAAACTATGAAAAATTAGCCAGGCATGGTGGCGCATGCCTATAATCCCAGCTACTTGGGAGGCTGAGGCAAGAGAATCGCTGAACCCGGGAGGCAGTGGTTGCAGTGAGTGGAGATCGCGCCATTGCACTTCAGCTTGGGCAACAAGAGTGAAACACCATCTCAAAAAAAAAATAACAACAACAACTGGAAATCACCTAAGTGTCCAAGAACAGGGGAAGGATCAGGTAACTTGACAGGATGCCCGTGTGACTGGCTGTTGTGATACCATCACCGATGATGTGCCAGAAGGTTCTGCCTGCATGGGGAAATGAAGCGTTCTGAAAGTGAAGATGTCCGGAGGATATTCATCTGTGCAGCCTGACTTCAGCTATGTAACGGGCATGCAGTAAACATGCAATAAACCCTGAATGAGTGCCTTAAGTACGGGAGTGAAACACCGTTCAGCGAGGGACTTGGAAGGATCCACTCCAGATGGGGTAGAGAGGTGACACCGTAGCAGTTGCTGCGGAAATTGGCAGGGCCTGGGTGGTGTTCACTATTCCCTTTGCCCATTTTTTCTTTTCTTTCTTTTTTTTTTTTTTTTTTTTGAGATGGCGACTCCCTCTCTCACTCAGGCTGGAGTGCAGTGGTGCAGTCTCAGCTCACTGCATCCTCTACTTCCCGGGTTCAAGTGATTCTCCTGCCTCAGCCTCCCAAGGAGCTGAGACTACAGGCACGCACTACCACACTCGGCTAATTTTTATATTTTTGGTGGAGACAGGAGTTTATCCTTTTGACCAGGCTGGTCTCAAACTCCTGACCTCAAATAATACGCCTGCCTCGGCCTCCCAAAGTGCTGGGATTACAGATGTGAGCCTTGCACCCAGCCTCCCTATGCCCCACTTCTGTGTTGTTTGAACTTTGGAAATTTTAAGAAGTCATGAAAAGTCTGAAATACGAGGAGAAACGTCCCTGAGTATTTAGGGATCGGTAACACTGTTAACCTATAACTTACATCAAAACACATCAAAAATATGAATAAATGGATAGCTATATGGATAGGCATGTGGTACAGCAAAGTGCTGATTGCAGAATGTAGGTGGTGGTGGTGTTTCAACAGAACTGTTCTGTGTGTTGAAATTTTCATAAAATGAGAGGAAAAGTTGGGAGAAAATGAACCATTGAGAGGGTTTGCAAGTAAAAAGCAGAAGTCTGTCTTCATAATCCAGTGTTTTATAGAATATTCACAGATTATGCAGCCACCATCTCTGTCCAATTTCAGAACATTTTTATCAACTCAGAAAGAAACCGCGTTCCCATTGGCTGTGATCACTCCCCATTCCCCCTCCCCCAGACCTTGGCAACCACTAATCGACTTCCTGTCTCTGTGGATTTGCTCATGTGGACAGTTGATATAAATGGAGTCATATGCCGTGTGGCCTTTCGTGTCTGACTCCTCTCAATCAGCATCATGATTTTAAGGTTCATCCACGTTTTCGCATGGAGCAGTGCTTCATACCTTTTCATGGCAGAATCGTATTCTCTTGTATGACTCATTTTCCATCTGTCAGTTGATGGATAGTTGGGATGTTAGTATATTTTAGCTATATGAATAATGCTGACAGGAACATTCATGTACAAGTTTTTGTGCAGATTTGTTTTTGGTTATCAGCTGTGTAGGAGTGAAACTGCTGGGTTGTATGATCACTTTACGTTTATAATTTTCTTTGGTTTTTTTTTTTGGAGACAGAGTCTTGTTCTGTCACCCAGGCTGGAGTGCAATGGCACATTCGTGGCTCACTGCATTCTCCACCTCCCAGGTTCAAGCGAGTTTTCCTGTCTTAGCCTCCTGAGTAGCTGGAATTACAGGACTACACCCCCAAGCCTGGCTACCAGCTAATTTTTGTATTTTTAGTAGAGATGGGTTTTACCATGTTGACCAGGCTGGTCTCGAACTCCTTACCTCGAGCAATCTGCCCACCTCAGCCTCCCAAAATGCTGAGATTAAAGACGTGAGCCACTGCACCCGGCCTGCGTTTATTCTTTTGAGAAAACACCAGACTGTTTTCCAAAGTAGCTGCAACATTTCACATTCCTACCCAGATCCCACGAGGGCTACACTTCCTCCGTATCCTTGTCAACACTGGCACAGACAGAGTCTCACTGTTTCCCAGGCTGGAGTACAGCAGCAAAATCTTGGCTCACTGCAACCTTTGCCTCATGGGTTCAAGCCATCCCCTGGCCTCAGCCTCCTAAGTAGCTGGGACTACAGGTGTGCACCACCACACCTGGCTAACTTTTGTATTTTTTGTAGAGACTGGGTTTTGTCGTGTTGCCCAGTTTGGTCTCGAACTCCTGGCCTCAAGTGATCCACCCACCTCAGCTTCCCAAAGTGCTGGGCTCATAGGCATGAGCCACCGTGCCCAGCCAGTTTGAAGGTTTGACTCGAATTTTCCCTGATGGTTAGTGATATTGAACATATTTTCATGTACCTGTTGGTGATTGGTACATCTCCTTTGAGGAAATGTATTAAGATTCTCTGCCCTTTTTTTTTTTTTTGAGACGGAGTTTCGCTCTTGTCACCCAGGCTGGAGTGCAATGGCGCGATCTCGGCTCACCGCAACCTCCGCCTCCTGGGTTCAGGCAATTCTCCTGCCTCAGCCTCCTGAGTAGCTGGGATTACAGGCACGCGCCACCATGCCCAGCTAATGTTTTGTATTTTTAGTAGAGACGGGGTTTCACCATGTTGACCAGGATGGTCTCGATCTCTTGACCTCGTGATCCACCCGCCTCGGCCTCCCAAAGTGCTGGGATTACAGGCGTGAGCCACCGCGCCCGGCCGATTCTCTGCCCTTTTTAAAAATTGGGTTATTGCTGATCCGTAAGGGTTCTTTGTGTATTCTCAGCATTAGTCCATTATCACACGTGCGTTTTGCAAGCGTTTTCTCCCATTTGATATGCTGTCTTTTCACTTTCTTGATGGTGTCATTTGAAGCACAAAAGTTTTTTATTGTGACTGGCCAGGCGCAGTGGTTGACACCTATATTCCCAGCACTTTGGGAGGCCGAGGCGGGCAGATCACCAGAGGTCAGGAGTTTGAGACCAGCCTGATGTCCAATATGGTGAAACCCCATCTCTACTAAAAGTACAAAACGTAGCCGGGCATGGTGGTGTGCGCCTGTAATCCCAGCTACTCGGGAGGCTGAGGCAGGAGAGTTGCTTAAACCCAGGATGTGGAGGTCGCAGTGAGCCAAGATTGTGCACTCTAGCCTGGGCGACAGAGTGAGACCTTGTCTCAAAAAAAAAAAAAAATGTTTTTTATTGTGATGAAATTTAGTTTATTGTTTTTCTTTTTGTTACTTGTGCTTTGAGTATTATAGTTAAGAAATCATTGCCTAATCCAAGGTTACAAAGATATACACATAAATTTTCTTCCAAGAGCTTTGTAGTTTGGATTTTTGTAGTTAGGTCTGTGATTCAGTAGTTAATTTTTTTTATATGGTATAAGGCAATCAAACTTTATTCTTTTGCATGAAGAAATCCAGCTGTTTCTGCACTCTTATTTTTCAGATAACCTTTTTATTTTGGAATGAGTTTAGATTTGTGGAAATGTTGCAAAGATAATACCAAAAGTTCCTATATATATCATTTGTGTAACAGCTTTACCATGTTCCCTTAGAGGGTGGTGGTGTTGGCTGGGTGCAGTGGCTCATGCCTCTAATCCCAGCCCTTTAGGGGGTCAGGGCAGGTGGATCACTTTGAGGTCAGGAGTTCAAGACCAGCCCGTGCAACATGGCGAAACCACGTTTCTACTAAAAATGGAAAAATTAGCCTGGCTTGGTGAGGAGCACCTGTAATTGCAGCTGCTCAGTAGCCTGAGGCAGGAGAATGTCTGGGACCTGGGATGCGGAGGTTGCAGGGAGCCGAGGTCGCACCACCGCACTCCAACCTGGGCGGCAGAGCAAGACTCTGTTTCAAAAAAAAAAAAAAAAAAAAAGAGTATATACTTCTAATTGTGTAGTTTAATGTTGTTAATTATATTCACAGGTAGATTACAGGTTACTTTGAAAAATCAGACAAGTGGCCAGGCGGGGTGGCTCATATCTGTAATCCCAGCACTTTGGGAGGCCAAGGCAGGCGGATCATGGGGTCAGGATTTTGAGACCAACCTGACCAACGTAAAGAAGCCCTGTCTCTACTAAAAATACAAAATTAGCCGGGTGTGGTGGCGCATGCCCGTAATCCCAACTACGCAGGAGGCTGAGGCAGGAGAATCCCTTGAACCTGGGAGGCGGAGGTTGCAGTGAGCTGAGGTCATGCCATTGCACTCCAGCCTAGACAACAGGAGCAAAACTCCATCTCAAAAAAAAAAAAAAAAAATCACGTAAAGTTTTCTAAGTAATAGTCGTGTAAAATAATCTCTGACAATATTTTTAGATCACCGCCTATCCTTATGGATATTTCTGCCCTCTGACTTCTCCAGGCTGTTCGGCTCTTGAATCCCAGCGATGGAACCAGGAACTCACCTTCCCGGGATGCTGAGTCTGCGTTCCTCCATTCCTGATGACTGCAAGAATGTTTTTGACCAGAAAATTGACAACCATCCCAGAAAAAGCCCAAGCTCGTGGTGGGTGGAAAAATGTTCGCTGAGATGTGCATGGTTTCCCAGCTACATCCCTGTTTTCAAAGATGGTTTCACTTTGGTCTCTGACTTGGAATGCTGTCTACTGAAGGGGTTTCAGGGGGGTTGATCTAAAGGGCTGTGATGAAGTTGCATTCCCCATAGATAAATGAAACAGCATTTCCATCCAGAGATCTGAGCAGAAAGGTTGGCTTTTAAGTTTAACACAGCTGCGTTTTTGGACGTTCAGTGTTACTGGCTGAGTCTGATAGCCTCTGGGCCCAGCCAGAGGCCCTGTTAACAAATTCCTTTCTCATCCCGACAGGGTCGGCCTGCTTGGCCATCAGTACAGCTGCGATTAACCCTAAGGCTTTAAGGAACCGGCCACCTGTATCAGGGACACCAACTTTCCTGTTTAGACACTAAATTGTTAGCAAGAGGGTTGAGCTGGTTCCCCGTGAAGTATTTTACAGAAAACGTGGAACAGTTGTGGGGGTGTTAAGATTTGCTCTGCCTTGAACCCTTTGTTATAAATAAAATGACTTTGGGAGCCATTCATTGTACAGCTGCAGGAATGAGAGTGATTTTATGATGTGGTGACACTGGGACCATGTTCTAAAACCTTGGGTTACTGAGTCTGCTTTTTGAGTGGATGATTTTGAAGTGGAAAACCCAGGGGTCTCCATCTAGGAAATACAGCATTTTCCAGAAGCTTCTTGGAAAGGGAATCCTGGTTTTGTTGCCAAAATGAAACACCCAGGGTTGGCACTGAATCCCACAGCTGTGTGATTTGTCTGTTGAATTTTTTGTTTGTCGGGTTTTTTTATTTGTTTATACCAATAAGAATGAGCCGGAATGCTGGAGATTTTTGAAATCCTGACTTGGAGGTAAACCTGGAGGAAGGGAAAAACATAAATATGCAGGCTTTTAGGAGTGAGTAGCCTTGAAAATAAACCTCATTTCTAAAAAGGACCTTTTGTTTATACTTTTTTCTTTTTTGTGACCAGGAAGTTAATTTCCAATCTGAGTCCTTTTGAATTACCCCATGGGAAACACCTAGGATTCATTTCGGAGGCTGTCAAAGTAGAGTTGGTGGTAGAATTTCTTTTTTGGATTTAGCTCAATAAATGATGGTCAAGAGGGCTTGGGTTCAGTGACTCATGCCTGTAATCCCAGCACTTTGGGAGACCAAGGTGGGCAGACCACTAGCCTGGCCAACGTGGTGAAACCCCATCTTTACTAAAAATCCAAAAATTAGCCAGACGTAGTGGTACACACCTATAATCCTAGCTACTCGGGAGGCTGAGGCACGAGAATTGCTTGAACATGGGAGGCAGAGGTTGCAGCAAGCCAAGATTGCGCCACTGCACTTCAGCCTGGGCAAGAGAGTGAGACTCCGTCTCAAAAAACAAAAGGAACGAGCAAGTGGAATTTTGACTGCAGCTGCTCCTGAAAGTATTGAGAGTCATTGCTAATGGTGGGCTGTTGCTAGACCAGGGTCAAGTCCACTTTTGCTGCTTCTCAGCTTGTGGAATTCTTCTTGATCACTTCCGTCATTCATTTCCTTGCCAAAGCCCAGCCAAGCATCACCCCATGGTCTGTAAGGAGATCGGAGCTGCTGGGTCTGGCTTTGCCGAGGCCGGTGTCCTTATCAGAACAGGCATGCTGAGATCTTGGCTGAGTCTCTCGCAAGCCAGATGAATGGTGTGAAGAAACCTTCCTGCCTTATTCAGACTGGCGCTGAGGTCTCAGTGAGTCGAGGCGTTTGTCCATGATGGTGATGAGTCGTGCTCTCAGAAGAGAATGCTGTCATTGAGGTTTTGTTTCGATAGTCTTATTTTTCTCCAGAGAACTGTTATCTCATTGTTAATAATAGCAGTATGGCTTTTGCAGATGCTGGTTGGTGGCTGCTGTACATTTTAAAAATGGAATCTCATGGATGTGTCTCTTCAGGAAGCTTTTCAAGAACCTTCACTGGCACCAGAGGTTATTAGAATGTGAGGTTTGGGTGCCTCGAGTTTTCACAGTGTTTAAGCACTAATGTTCTGGGCCAGTTAGGTGTGAGTTCAAATCCCATCTCAGCTCATTCTAACTGGGAATTTGGCTAATTGCTTTCCCCTCTCCAAGCCTCAGTTTCCACGTCTCTAAAATGGGCCTGCAAGTTACGTGTGCCTAAGGTCGTTGTAGGTTTCAATGAACTCGAATGTGGCTGAGTGCCTGAGAGCGCCTGTTGCTGTGGGTGTTAATACCATGTGTGTTTTCTGTCTTCTCGTCCACTTTCTTTTGTGCAGTCTGCACACGCACCATTAAAGGCTGATCAGCATTTTAGAAAATTGCAACCAGGCCGGTGCAGTAGGTGCCTCACGCCCTAAATCCCAGCATTTTGGGAGGCTGAGGTAGGCAGATCACCTGAGGTCAGGAGTTTGAGACCAGCCTGGCCAACATGACAAAACCCCATCTCTACTAAAAAATACAAAAAGTAGCCAGGCATGGTGGTGCACGCCTGTAATCCCAGCTACTTGGGAGGCTTAGGCAGGAGAATCACTTGAACCCTGGAGGCGGAGGTTGCAGTGAGCAGAGATCACACCACTGCACTCCAGTCTCAGTGACAAAAGTGAAACTCCATCTCAAAAAAAAAAAAAAATCGCAAACAATTTCCAACATGGTAAGCCTTTTCCTCTCTTCACCATCTCCATCCAGCATTTTCTTTATTCCTGTATGCATGTTTTGAGAGAGGATAAGGAAGGATGGGTTCTGCGTTTTTCTTTTTTCCTTTGAGACAGAGATTCACTCTGTTGCTAGGCTGGAGTGCAGCGAAACAGTCTCGGCTCACTGCAACCTCTGCCTCCCAGGTTCACATGATTCTCCTGCCTCAGCCTCCCGAATGCTGGGATTGTAATTCATGCCACCACGCCCAGCTAATGTTTGTATTTTTAGTAGAGACGGCATTTCACCATTTTGGCCAGGATGGGCTCAATCTCTTGACCTCGTTATGTGCCCACCTTGGCCTCCTAAAGTGCTGGGATTGCAGGCATGAGCCACCAGGCCCAGCCAGGTTCTGCTGTTTTCAGTTTAGCATCATTTTCTTCCCACTTGCTGTGTTGCTAGGGAGTTGTTACTGTTCTCATTTTTGCTTATGGTGCAGTGTCAGTAAATCGGTCCTTAGCCACCTTCTTGCTGGACTTGGTTTGTATTTTGTCCACTGTGATAAAGGCTGCCTCTGGCACCAGTGTTGTGGTCTTCATTGGCTTCTATTGTGATGTTAATTTCCTTGGGGCATATAACCCTGGAGGGGTCCATAATATCCTTACCATGGATGTGGCTTTAAGTGGCTTTTGTTTGTTAAACTTTGTTTGAAAAACTCTTTTTAGGCTGGGTGCAGTGTCTCATGCCTGTAATCTCAGCACTTTAGGAGGCTGAGGTGGGTGGATCACTTGAGGCCAGGAATTCAAGACCAGCCTGGCCAGTATGGCGAAACCCCATCTGTACTGAAAATACAAAAATTAGCGGGGTGTGGTGGCACGCTCCTGTAATCCCAGCTACTCAGGAGGCTGAGGCAGGAGAATCGCCTGAACCCAGGAGGCGGAGGTTGCAGTGAGCCAAGATCGTGCACTCTAGCCTGAGTGACAGAACGAGACCCCTGTCTCAAAAAAAAAAAAAAAAAAAAAAAGTTAACTGCTAATGCATGTTCATTGAAGAAAACTCATCAAATGCATATTTGCTAGAAGAAGAAAAATGAATCATCCACAATCACATTCCCCTGAGAACATTACCCTAAGTACACATCCTTCCAACCTTTCTTCTGTACATAATCATTTGGGTGTGCTGTATACATTTTCTCTTGGCAATGTTATCTTAGTATCTTGCAGTGAGGGTTTCTCACCTTATACTATAACCATACTTCCATATCCTCAAATACATTGTTTACTAAAATATCCTTTCTTTTTCTTTTCTTTTTTTTTTTTTTTAAAGACAGGGTCTCACTCTGTTGCCCAGGCTGGAATGTAGTGGTGTGATTAGAGCTCGCTGCAGCCTCAACCCCCCTGGGATCAAGCAATCCTCCCACCTCAGCCTCCCAAGTAGTTGGGACCACAGGCTAATTTTTTTTTTTTTTTTTTTTTTTGTAGAGACAGGGTCTTCCCGTGTTGCTCAAACTGCTCTTAAACTCCTGGGCCCGACGAACCTTCCACCTTGGCATTCAAAATTTCTGGGATTACAGGCATGAGCCATAGTATCTTTTTCTTTTATTTAGACTAGAGTCTCACCCTCACCCAGGCTGGAGTGTGGTGACGTGATCTTGGTTCACTGCAACTTCCACTTTCCAGGTTCAAGCAATTCTCATGCCTTAGTCTCCTGAATAGCTGGGATTATGGGTGCATGCCCAGCTAAATTTTGTATTTTTAGTAGAAACAGGGTTTCACCATGTTGGCCAGGCTGGTCTCAAACTCCTTATTTCAGGTGATCTGCCTGCCTCAGCCTCCCAAAGTGCTGGGATTACAGGGATGGGCCGCCGAGCCCACAATATAATTCTTAATAACTGCAAATATACCATTGTAAAGACATAATCATTAATTTAACCAGTCCCCAGTTGGTGGGCATCTGACTTGTGTTCAGTTTTTGCATATTAGAAAATAACACCATGAGCTGGGAGTCACTGCCAGAGTGATAAGCTGTGGGTAGTGAAGGGAGAGAAGGCCACAGTGTACAGCACCTGCCCGGGGAGTGTTCACTTTGGGGTTCATGTTGGAACCCATTTTGCTTCCTCCACCATTGCACATTGAAGGAGAATGTGTTTTTCATGGGCTTCTCTTTGTCCTTCATGTATATCTGCTCTATGGCAGGAGTCAGCCAACTACAGCCCATAGGCCACGTCCGGCCCACAGCTTGTTTTTGTAAATAAAGTTTTATTAAGGGTGCTGTGGCTTACAACTGTAATCCCCCCCATTTTGGGAGAATGAGTCGGGTTGATCCCTTGAGGTCAGGAGTTCAAGATTAGCCTGACCAACATGGCAGAATCCTGTCTCTACTAAAAATACAAAAATTAGCCAGGGGTGGTAGTGCACACCTATAGTCCAAGCTCCTCAGGAGGCTTAAGCAGGAGAATCACTTGAACCTGGGTGGCGCAGGTTGCAGTGAGCCAAGACAGTTCCACTGCAGGTTCAGCCTGGGCGACGGAGCTAGACTGTCTCAAAAAAAAAAAAACGTGTTGGAATCCGGCCACACCCGTTTGTGTGTGTATTACCTACAATTGCTTTGGCCGCCTCCATACTGCAACTGTAAAGTGGAGTAGTGGCAGCAGATACCATATGGCCTGCAGAACGGAAAATGTCACCCATTTGGCCCCTTACCAGAAAAATTTGCCAACCACTGAGCTAGGGTGTGATGGAGAATCCCAAGGTGTCTCTTCCTTTCCAAAGCTACTCTGGTAGAATCATCTGTATCCTTGTGGCCTGGATTTTAGCAAAGATGCACACAAACAACTTTTTTTTTTTAATTTGGCAGGGAAGCCCTGCCATTTTCAAGTGATGTGGTTAATCAACCAAAACCCAATTTTCTTGCTCTTTTTTTTTTGAGATGGAGTCTCATTCTGTCAGACTGGAGTGCAGTGGCATGATCTCAGCTCACTGCAGCCTCCGCTTCCCTGATTTAAGTGATTCTCCTGCCTCAACCTCCAAAGTAGCTGGGATTATAGGCACTTGCCACCACACCTGGCGAATTTTGGTATTTTTAGTAGAGTTGGGTTTTCTCCATGTTGGCCGGGCTGATCTCAAACTCCTGATCTCAGGTGGTCCGCCCACCTCGGCCTCCCAGAGTTCTGGGATCACAGGCATGAGCTGTTGCGCCTGGCCTCTTTCTCTTGATAGTTAGGGAAAAGACCCTTCTCGGGCTCCCGGAGATTCCTCTTCGGAACAGCAGCAGGGTGATGTGATAATGAAATCTGCTCTCCTCTGAAGTGGTTAGATTTGAAAAGCCACTGAAGCTGTCATTAGCAAGGCATTTTCTTTTCATTTAAACCATTTCATTATCTCCTTCTTTACCAAACTTGAGTTAATCACGTATTTGAGAAGCCTCCTGATGTTTTCATGTGTTAATGAAAGACAGATGCTGTTTGTGTAAAAGCAAAAGGCATGCTATACAAAAAAAGAAGGCTAAAAAGGGCCGGGCAGGGAGGCTCACGCCTGTAATCCCAGCACCTTCAGAGGCTGAGGCAGGCGGATCACTTGAGGCCAGGAGTTCGATACCAGCCTGGCCAACATGGTGAAACCCCATGCCAACTAAAAATACAAAAGCCAGGTGTGGTGGTGCGCACCTGTAATCCCAGCTGTTTGGGAGGCTGAGACAAAATTGCTTGAACCTGGAAGGTGGAGGTTGCAGTGAGCGGAGATCGTGCCACTGCACTGCAGCCTGGGTGACAGAGCGAGACTCTGTCTTAGAAAAGAAAAAATACAACTAAAATAAAATAAGGGGAAAAAAAGATGTCAGTTCTACTGGAGGGATTTGTTTTCACCATTCGCTTGCTTTTCATTATTATGCAGAGAAAAGCACTCGATCTGCTTCAGGCCTGTCTCTGGCACTTGAGTTTCTGGAAATGAGAGATTGGTAATAGCAAGTATTCCTGGATGAGAAGCCAGGCAGACGGGTCTCTAGCAATGTGGAAATCCAAAGTTCATATTTTTTATTTTTCTTTTTCAAAGTTTTTATTTTATTTTTGAGACAAAGTCTTGCTGTGTCATCCAGGGTAGAGTGCAGTGGTGCAATCATAGCTCTCTACAGCCTCGAACTCCTGGGCTCAAGTGACCCTCCCACTTCAGCCTCCTGAGTAACCAGGACTACAGGCCTGCACCACCATGCCAGGCTATTTTTGCTGTTGTTTTGTAGGAACAGGGTCTCCCTATGTTGCCCAGGCTGGTCTCGAACTCCTAGTCTCAAGCAGTCTTTCCACCTCAGTCTCCCACAGTGCTAGGATCACAGGCACGAGCCTCTGTGCCAGTGTCCACATTTTCAATAAGAAAATGGCAAGAACTAATTCAGCATATGTTTTGGTGGCTTTCTTTTTGACCAATGGATTGTTTCAGATCAGACCAGCCCAAATCTGGCCCGCCGCCTGTCTTTTCATGAGCCTCAAGGTAGAATGGCTCTTACATTCTTAAATTGTTTCAAAAGAAGAAGTTTTATAAAAGTAAACTATCAGGCCAAGTATAAAAGAAAAAAGCTTATAAGAAGGAAAAAGAAAGGAGATGGACATTATATGAAATCCAGATTTTTTGTTGTTGATAAAGTTTTATTGCTGTATTAGTCCATTCTCATTCTGCTATGAAGAGCTGCCTGTGGGTCACACCTGTAATCCAGCACTTGGGGAGGCCGAGGCAGGTGAATCACCTGAGGTCAGAAGTTTGTGACCGGCCTGGCCAACATGGTGAAACCCTGTCTCTACTAAAAAACACAAAAATTAGCTGGGCATGGTGACGGGTGCCTGTAATCCCTGAACCCAGGAGGCAGAGGTTGCAGTGAGCCAAGATCGCGCCATTGCACTCCAGCCTGAGCAACAAGAGCGAAACTTCGTCTCAGATAAAGAAAGAACTGCCTGAGACTGGGTAATTTATAAACAAAAGAGGTTTAATTGGCTCACAGTTATGCATGGCTGGGGAGACCCCAGGAAACTAACAATCATGGTGGATGGGGAAGCAGACATGTCCTTCCTTCTGCACATGGTGGCAGGAAGGAGAAGAATGAGAGCTGAGTGAAGTGATGCCCCGTATAAGAAACAACTTACTCGCTATCACTAGAATAACACGGGGAATCACTCCCCTGATTCAGTTACCTCCCACAGGATCTCTGCCACCACACATGAGGATTATGGGAACTACAACTCAAGATGAGATTTGGGTGGGGACACAGTGCAACTGTATCAGCGGTCGTGCTCATTAGTTTGTGTATCATCTGTGGCTCCTTTAGTACCACAAGGGCAGGATTGAGTCCTTGCAGCAGAGACCATTCACCCTGCAAAGCTGAACCTGTTTACTCTCCAACCCTTTATGGAAAAGTTTACTGATCTCTGGACGAGACAGTTTTTAACAATGACATCTTACTAGTGGATCCTGTTCATTGGTGTCTAGTTTACATTACCATCATGGCAGTTGGTGGTAAACCTAGGCAAAAGAGTGTGGACTGTGCCGAGGGAATTGTAGAAATTATTTTAGAGGAAATGAAGCTTTACATCTATTCGAGTTCATTATGCGTGTGAGAAAAACGGTGGAAAAGATGGTTCCAGCAGAAAGCAAGTTGGTGGTGTGGCTCAGACCTGGGCTCCGTGTCTTGGCCTTTCTGTACTTCCATGTCCTCATCTGTGATACAGGTACAGTGAAGGAGAGAGCCTCAGCATGGGCCTATAGCCTGCCTGACTTTTTCTGCACTCAGGAAAAGTCACTGTTTTTATTGATACCGTTGCTTCTGTTAAAAGACTTTTCTCAGCTGGGTTTTGCGAGGCTTCAGTGAGATGATATGTAAGTCAGCTAGAGCTGTGTATCAGGCAATCTTGGGTTGCTATAAAGAAATACCTGAGACTTTGTAATTTATCAGAAAAGAGGTTATGGCCAGGCGCAGTGGCTCACTCTGTTGCCCAGGCTGGAGTGCAGTGGTGCTATCTCTGCTTGCTGCAACCTCCGCCTTCTGGGTTCAAGGGATTCTCCCACGTTAGCCTCCTGAATAGATGGAACTACAGGTGTCCACCACACATCTCTAATTTTTTATATTTTTAGTAGAGAAGGGGTTTCACCACGTTGGCCAGGCTGGTGTTGAACTCTTGAGCTAAAGTGATCTGCGTACCTCAGCCTCCCTAAGTGCTGGGATTACAGGCGTGAGCCACTGCACCCGCCATGATTTCAGTGTTCTTGGGGGAGATGCCTGGAAGTAGAATTGCTGAGCTGTGCGGTGACTTCCAGGCCTCCTTAAAGCTTTAGCCTGGACTGGGCAGAGAGTGGTTTCCACTGCATTCTCTTAGCCACAGTGAGTCACAGGTTCACTCCAGAGTCAGTGTCGGGTGGGGAGTGGGGAGGACACGAGGACCTGAGTGTCCAAGGGGGAGTTCATGGAGTCCTCATGTCAAGTCCCCAGCATGGACTCTGACACATCGTTGGACCTTAGCAAATGTCGGTTGTCATTCTGTTTAGCACTAAGAATAATGATATAAAATTGGAACAGTAAGGAAAACACAAACTGTTGGAACTTAGATCTGCATCTATTAGTCTGCCTAATAGAAAAGCCACCATCAGGATTTTGGAGATAATGGGACACACTGGCTTTAGGTTACCCGCACCAGAGTCAGCCCTGGAGGCTCCCAGAGATGAGAGCAATCCCAGCGCTTGGCAGGATGGCTGGGAAACAGTCCTGTGAGTGCCGGAAAATGCGGAAGTCATCTAGGAACAAGTTAAGAAGAAAGTAAACATCATCTGTCACTCTATCAGAGATAACTGCCATCAATGTTTTGGTTTCTTTCTTTCCAGTTTTTCTCTATCCATTTGGTGCATAAGTATGTATATTTTAATAAAAGTATAATTAAGATAATAACGTATATCGTTTACAGGCTGTATATTATTATTTATTGGGAGCATTTCTCCATCAATAGTGGGTTTGTTTTGTTGTAAGAGACAGCTCAGGGCTGTCTTGGGAGGCCAAGGCGGGCGGATCACGAGGTCAAGAGATCGAGACCATCCTGGCCAACATAGTGAAACCCATCTCCACTAAAATACAAAAATTAGCTGGGCGTGGTGGTGGGCTCCTGTAGTCCCAGCTACTCAGGAGGCTGGCGACAGAGTGAGACTCTGTCTCAAAAAAAAAAAAAAAAAAAAAAAAGAGAGAGACGGGCTCTTGCTGTGTCGCCTAGGCCAGAGTGTAGCGGCGCAATTGTGGCTCACTGCAGCCACAAACTCCTGGGTTCCACTACTGGTCTCAGCCTCCCAGTAGTTAGGATTGTAGATGTGAGCCACTGTGCCCAGCTTAATACTGGTTTTCTTAATGCGACTTCACACACACACACACACACACACACACACACACACAGGTGTACTTCATTTACTTTGGAAGTTTAATTTATAGTGGTGTACAGCTTGGTGAATTTCTTTCCCTTTTTTTTTTTTTTTGTTTCAGTCTCACTGTGTCACCCAGGCTAGAGTGTAATGTCGCCATGTCAGCTCACAGCAACCTCTGTCTCCTGGGTTCAAGTGATTCTTCTGCCTCAGCCTTCTGAGAAGCTAGGATTATAGGCACGTACCACCATGCCTAGCTAATTTTTGTATGTCTAGTGGAGACAGGGTTTCACCATGTTGGCCAGGCTGGTCTCTGACTCCTGACCTCAGGTGATCCACCCCCTTCGGCCTCCCAAAGTGCTGGGATTACGGGCCTGAGTCACCGTGCCTGGCCAGCTTGTTGAATTTCTACGTGTGTGTACACCAGTGAGGTTACCACTCATTGAGGCTTAGATTGCCGTAGCACCCACAAGGCTTCCTGTGGCGCCTTCTAATTCATAACCTTCCCATTGCGAGGAATTGATCACAGTTTATTTACATACTCCCTATTGCTGGGCACTTACATTGCTTCCAATCTTTCACTCTTACAAACAGTGCTTCAGTGAACTTCCTTGTATATACACATTTGTCTACATCTGATTGCCTCCTTCGGATAAATTTCTAGAAGTTGTGAATTTCAGTACACTCATACCCAGTGGGTCAGAGGGTATGAACTTATTGAAATGCTCCCAGTTGGCAAGGCGCGTGGCAGGGTGTGATGGCTCAGGCCTGTAATCCCAGCACTTTGGGAGGCTGAGACGGGCGGATCAGCTGAGGTCAGAAGCTCCAGACGAGCCTGGCCAACATGGGGAAATCACATCTCTACTTAAAATGCAAAACTTAGCTTGGCGTGGTGGAGCGCGCCTGTATTTTCAGCTACTCAGGAGGCTAAGGCACAAGAATCACTTGAACCCGGGAGGCAGAGGTTGCAGTGAGCCGAGATAGTGCCACTTTACTCCAGCCTGGGCAACAGAGCGAGACTCTGCCTCAAAAAAATAAAAAAAATGCTCACAGTTAATTACTTTTTCCTTCCTTGGTGCCCCAGTTGTGCTGTGTTTGTACAGTGCAATGAAAGTATTGTATTCATGAATCCCCCCAGCCAGGTTCCAGGGCTTGGCTTCAAAACTGGATTCTCAGGAGCAGGTATCCTTTGTGTATCCCCATCCCTTCTTGAAGATGTGATAAAAAAATTGAGTTATTCTGGCTGTCTTTGACACGTCAGGGTTAGTCAAAGCCGATTTAAATTGGTTTCACTTTAAAGTAAACAGGACTTATTGCAAAGCCAAGCAGAACTATGAAACTCATCTCTAGGTACTTCTGAGATAAATGATACGGTTGAATGAGTTCGTATATGAGAAAGGGTTTTAAAAATTCTGCCAGTCTGTTAAACCCAGAGCAAACATAGGGGTCAAAGTGGGGTGGTTGTTTTTGTGACACCAGCTTTTCCTGTTAATCCCTGGAGCCCTCACATCCCTTATTAGGGTAAGTTTAGTAACCCTGTGCTCTAAATGGCCTCTCAGGGGCTTGCTTCTGAAATGTCTGAGCGCATTCCTGCTGTTGCTTCTGGCTATCAAAAGGTGTCACTGTGGAAGACTGGTCCTGTACAGCTGTGTGAACCTGCCTGAGCACTGCTTCCTCTACAATGCTCTTGTATATCCCAGTTCCTGCTTAGGCCACAGAAATGAGTCCAGGGAGAAGGATTCTCCTCCCTTGCTGTCCAGCTTGGCTGAAGATGCCCTGCAGTTGACCTCCTGACACTTAAGTTTTTTGCCTATCTTCGTGTGGCAAGAGCAAGTCTTGGACTGTGAGCTACTTCCTCTCCCTTTCATTCATTCATTCATTCGAGACAGAGTCTCACTCTGCCTCCCAGGTTGAAGTGCAGTGGCACAATCTCGGCTCACTGCAACCTGTGCCTCCCGGGTTCAAGCGATTCTCCTGCCTCAGCCTCCTGAGTAGCTGGGATTACAGCCGCATGCCACCATGCCTGGCTAATTTTTGTATTTTTAGTCGAGACTGGGTTTCACCATGTTGGTCAGGCTGGTCTCGAACTCCTGACCTCGTGATCTGCCCACCTCAGCCTCCCAAAGTGCTGGGATTACAGTCATGAGCCATTGCGCCCGGATCTTTTATTTATTTATTTCTATTTTATTTATGAGACAGAGTCTCACTCTGTCAGCCAGGCTGGAGTGCAGTGGTGCGATCTCGGCTCACGCAGCCTCCACCTCCTGGGTTCAAATGATTCTCCTGCCTTTGCCTCCCGAGTAGCTGGGATTACAGGTGCCCACCACCATGCCCAGCTAATTTTTATAGTCTTAGTAGAAATGGGATTTCACCATGTTGGCCAGGCTGGTCTCAAACTCCTCACCTCAAATGATCCACCCACCTCGGCCTCCCAAAGTGCTGGGATTATAGGTGTGAACCACTGCAACCAGCCCTTCTGCTCCCTTTTTGGGGTTCCCCTCACTAAGAGGTAAGGCAGCTTTTTCCAAGCACAAAAGGACATTCCAAGCACAAAAGATCTTGTTATACTAAAATACTGTAAGGGACCTGTCATTGAGGAAGGACCATTACAGCAAGAGGAGTTACGCCGCATATTTGCATAACTGACAGAAGCCATGGCAAGGATGTTTCAATGCCGAAACTTGGCTAAGTGAACTGCAGTATCTACCCTGGACCTAAGAGAACTTGCTAACGCTTTCAAGACTACTATTCAATGGCTATACGATTTAATCTTTGCCATTACAAAAGCACCCTTTAATAAATATTAAATATGGAATAAAACTAAATACGTATCTGTGTGTTTTATGTACCCTGATGTATATGGTGTTATATTTTATGAAGTGTTTCATTCATTCCAGAAATAGCTATTGAGACCCATAGTGTACCTGATCTGTGGGAACTGAAATGCATTCGTATGTCTGGGTGTGTGTGTACAGCTACCATGTATTTGATGAAACTTTCATTGACTTACTCCACAAATAATGATTTTCTACCGGGGATACTAAAAAGAGACAGTGCCCTTCAGGAACTCAGTCATATTAATGCTTCTTAGTTTTTGAAACACAGGTAAGTTGAGTACTTTGCAAATGTTCATTTATTTATTTAGAGACATAGTCTTGCTGTCACCCAGGTTGAAGTACAGTGGTGTGATCTTGGCTCACTGCAGTCTCCGCTTTCTGGGTTCAAGCAATTCTTGTGCCTCAGCCTCCCCAGTAGCTGGGATTACATGTGTATGCCACCATGCCTGGCTCATTTTTGTATTTTTAGTAGAGATGGGGTTTCTCCATTTTGGCTCCGCGGGACTCGAACTCCTGACCTCAAGTGATCTGCCCTCCTCGGCTTCCCAAAGTGCTGGGATTACAGGCGTAAACTACCAGGAGTGAGCCACCATGCCTGGCCCCCAATTTTTGTTGTTTTTGTTTGTTTGAAGCTGAGTCTCGCAATGTTGCCCTGGCGGGAGTGCAGTGATGCGATCTCAGCTCACTGCAACCTCCGCCTCCCAGGTTCAAGCAATTCTCCCACCTCAGACCCCTCTAGTAGCTGGGATTACAGGGGCGTGCCACCATGCCCGGCTAATTTTTGTATTTTAGTAAAGATAGGGTTTCACCATGTTGGCCAGGCTGGTCTCAAACTCCTGAGGTCATGTGATCCACCCACCTTGGCCTCCTGAAGTGTTGGGATTACAGGTGTGAGCCATGGCCCAAATGTTTCTTAAAATAACCTGACCCATGCAAAATAAATTGTCTCCTATGTAATCCTTTATTTAAAAAAAAAAAAAAAACTGTACATCCGAGTTAGACATTAAGAGAAGCAGGACGGCAATATGCCTCAGGAAGGCTTTGTTTATTTTGCTTATCAGAAATGAGATAAAAAATTATCTCCGAATGGGCCAGTTTCCAACTTGGACCGTGTACACCATGTACACCCAGCACCACATTCTGGGTGGGACGGGGGTGGGAGCAGTAAATTACGAGTGTTTTAGCCCGTGTTGCTTTTCTCCTCCCAAGTGTGATGTAAAACTTTTCACATGTGCAGGAGCACGCAACCATAGCCACGTGCAGAAGCAGCCGTTTTTGCAAATGAAAATACTTCCCAGAAGCATAACAAGTACAAGACTAACAGGTGTCGGGCAGAGCCAAGGCACACATGTGGTTCTCATCAGCCGTCTTCCTCCTGTTTGAAATCTAGGTCTTCCTGTAACAGCGGGAAAAAAAAAGATTTTTCCCGAGGCCGCGGAGCTTGCCTTTGCACCCCGTCTCACAAAGCATTTCCAACAGAGCTCCCAGAAAGAGGGGAGCAATTACAGAAGGCAGTAGATAGGGTGGAGGGAGGAAGGGCGCCCTTAAACTTGACATCTGCTGTTCTGGGCTTAACCCCGAAGTCTGGGTGATCTTGAGCCTCAGTTTCCTCTTGTGGGACATGTTTGGTTCCGAGAATGAGGGTCTCAGTTTTACAGCATCTCCAAGCAGAGGTGGGTGGAAGGGTCTTTCAATCACGGGGTTCTCCGCCTGTGGGGGGGGCGGGGAGACTGTGTCCCCCCAGGGGACGGCGGCAGTGATTGCAGGCTGGGGGAGGGTGGCCAGAGATGCCGCTCAACTTCCGACAGATCGGAGGGCCCGCCCCGACGACAGAGCGATCCCGCCCAAATACCAGCGGTGCAGAGGTGGAGAAGCCGCGGTGGAGACGCAGGTTTGCAACCTCCGGCTTTCCGGCGTTCCCAGCTAGTGGGGGCGGCTCCTGCCAGAGGCGCTTTGCTGCTTCACGTTTCCGCGATGGGGGTCGCACGTGGCCGTGCAGGCCCCCCGCCCCTCCACCACACCCACTCCCACACCCTCTGAGGGGCGGGGGGGTGGCCGCGGCGACATCCCCGAGCCCCTCCGATGACCCTTCGGGGCGCAGAATCACAACGTGAACGTCTGGTTCCCTCGCCCCCTCAAAAACTCGACAGCTGCTAAGCCTGCAACTCCCGTACCCCAGTCACGCGCCAGGAAGGGTCTCCCCGAGAAAGGATTCTCCCGTCGCCCTCCCCACCCTGAGGTAACCGCCGCGAGCGTCAGGGTTCAAGGACTCTTCGCGCGCGCGCTTCCGTCGGAAAGCCCCGCCCCGTGACCCGGGCCGGGGCGGGGCCTCTAGGCAGTGACCGTTGCCCCGCCCAACCTCCTCCCAACGGCTGCCTTGGCTGGGCGGTGGGGCGGGGCGGCACGGGCGGACGAATGCGCCTGCGCGCGCGTGCGCGCTGGTGAGGGGCGTGAGCGCGGGCTGCCCCGCCCAGGCCTGGCGTCTCCTCCAGCCCCATCTCCCAACCTCCTCAGCGTGGCGCCGACGCTGCGTGCGGCGCTGACTACCCAGAGTACTCCGCGCGGGGGCAGCTCACTGGAGTTTGGTTCTCGAGGCGGCGGCAGCAAGCGGCGGCGGCTCCGGCAGCTCCTCCTCCTCCTCCTTTGGTGGCGGCGGCGGCCCGGGACCGAGACCCGGCCCCGGCTCCCCTCTCCGCCACCCCGCGCGCCCCCAACTCCCCCGGCGCCGTGGGGAACATGCGGCTCCGGCTCCCGGAGGCCGGCGAGTGAGTGACCCCGTCCCCCGCCTCAGCCCGCCCGCCCGCTGGCCCGGCCGCAACCCCCCGCCTCGCCCAGGCAATGACAGCGGCTCCGGCGTCTCCGCAGCAGATCAGGGACCGGCTGCTGCAGGCCATCGACCCCCAGAGCAACGTAAGTACTCGCCGCGCGAGCTGGGTCGGAGGCCGCATGGGCCCGGGACCCTCCCCCTCTCCTGTCCCTTTCGCCTACCGGGCTTCGGGGGACCCGTCTGGCGCCCACCTCCCTTCGAGGGCCGCTGCCATCCCTGCCTTTCGCTCCTCGGGCCCGTGCCGGGGGCAAGTTGGGCAGCCCGGCAACGCTCGGTACGTGAGGCCGAGGCTTCCGTGCGGCCTGGGCGGAGGAAGCAGACGGGGGGCTGAGGCTAGAGCTTTTCCCCCCTTTCTGCTCCAGCTCTACGACCCTGACTGCTCTGGACGAAGCTCCCCTGCCTCGCCCTCCCTCCGGGACCCGAGACCCCCGGGAAGCCCTCCCGGAGCGGGGGAGGGGAGGGAGTAGGTCTGTGAAGCAACTGGTGTCCGGGGTATGACTCGGGAAACCTGTGTCTCTCATTTCTCGGCCTCCTGGGCGATCAGGGAAGTCCTTGTTCCCTCTCCTCCCGGCTGGCAGCACCTTCCCGGCTTCGCACAGAACCCCCAGTCTGTTTTGCGCCTGGCGGGGTAACCAGGGTACGTGGAGAGTGTGTCTCCGTTCTGTGACTGGACACGCCTTTGCCAAAAACCCTCTTGGGGTCGCTGCCGACGACAGATGATCGCGGGGAGGGTGGGATCCTTCCTGTTGCCTTTCTGGGCCTAAGTACTCATTGCGTCTCTGACCAAGCCAGAGCTCCATTTTTTGGCTAGTGAATTAAAGAGGACTGTTTTCTCTCCGTTTACCCAAAACCCGTGTTTCAGTCAGCTCTTTCCCTCACCTGGGGGGTCTCGGCTCGGTGGTTTGTGACCCAGACTGTCAGGGTTAACTCCAGGGTGTCACTTCCTCAGGTGCCCCTTGCTGGGGCTACTGTTTGCAGAGGGACCGCCCCCTCCCCCTCCGCGTGTGCGCGTGTGTGTGTGTGTGTGTGTGTGTGTGTGTTGAGGGGTGGGAAGACTGATCTATTCTCATATTTTCTCTAAGAGTTTCTTGGCAGTAGGCGGCAGGAGCAGGGCAGTAGGAAGATGTGGTAGCATCCAGGTATGAAGTAAGGGTCTGGGAGACCAGGAAGTGGCCATAGGTGGCCATTGTGATCACTTTTTAATATGCTGTGAATGGAAGAAAAAAAATCATCTTTGGCTTGGCCAGGTAACTCAGGTTTCTCTCACCATGGGGGTTTTTGCTTTTATTTTTACATGAGCTTGGCTGATTACTCCTAGCAGTATGCTTAACTCTGATGATGTTTTTGGAATGATTCACATTGGCTTATAATACAATTTTTGGTAAAGATTGAAGGGTTATGAGTTTTTTCTAAGGCTCTGGTTGCTGCGACATAAGTACCGCTCTTATCCCTGGTAATCAGGTCCCATTAAAATTGACTTGATGGTAATTGTGTTTAACAAATGTTGTGTTATACATTTTTATTATGACTTTGGGGGTGGAGTGGGCACAAGCTATATAAAACCTTCTAGAATGTCCTTTTTGCAGTAACTGGTGCCACTGCAATTTTAAAGACTGAAATATTAGAGGATAAAACAGGTGACATGAAAAAAATAGCATTGGTGACTTGTGCATCTTTTGTGGAGTCAGAAAGTAATTTTTTTGAATTTCACGTGCTCGCTTCTCTTTGGGAGAGTCGGAGAGGTTGCTGAGATATTAGCACTGATCCTTAATGCCACCTCAGGGAGCTTTGGGATCAGGCAGTGTTGTAGATTAGGTCACCCCAGTGACCTCAGGGGTTCCACTGTTGTGTAAGGCTCTAATCTAAAGGGTTCCTTGAGGCAGAAGAGAGAAAGGAGGAGGGAACACACCTTCGTTTTATGTGTCTTAGCGTATGCAGAAATGTTGTATAGGTAGGTCCCTGGTTATGTTACCTGGTGTGGAATTTGCATTTCATACCGATTATTTTCGGAGACTCTAGTGATGATCATGGGCAGAGTCCTACTAACATGGGATGGATGGATTTGGGAAATTATCTCTTTATGAGCAGTGAGGAAAGTACCTACGTTGTGAGTGACCCTCTGATCGCCGTTATGGGCCATTTGACAGGACCATTCGATTCGAGCAAACACCATGCAGAAACCCAGAGCTGCGATGGGCAGGGTTGCTGGCGGAGGTGGTGGTGAGGACCAGGCATGTCAGTGTGTCTGCAGTTTCTCTCAGATCAATGTGGGTTCAGGTGAGAGCAGGTGGCTCCAGCATAGGCGCTCCTGGCCCGCTGTCTCCTCTCTGGCCTGCGCAATGATGGACTCCACTGCTGGATATTTAGTTGACACATATTTAAGATGCTCATGGAAAGGAAAAAAAAAAAACGGGGACAGTGTTGAAGAGCCAACACTAAAATTAAACCTCTTCTGAGAGAAGCGGCCGAGAATTGTGTCATGTAATGCTTACCTTTATGGGCATGCAATTATGGTTAACAAACTTAGCTATTGCTTGCAAGATCAGTGTCAGGAGCTGACCTAATATCCACAAGTATCTGGAAAGTTAAGGAAGTGACGAAGTCATGTTTACCAACCATCCCCTTGACAAAGGCATTCTTAGGAGGAAAATTGTTTCTTCGCTGTAACTTTTAGCCCCTGGAGTGTATGCATTTTTGAATTCCTATAGCAGCAGGCTCACAGTTAATAATTTCTGCCAATTCAGTAATAAAGTAAATCCTCTACTCTCCTTTTCAAAAGGCTACTAACAGTTTTTCAGAGCAGTCAGAGCCTTTCTTTTTGCCGTGCACCCTTTCAGCCCTGGATGTTGAAAATCTCTGAAGTGCAGTGTGTGCGTGATTGTTCCAGCTTCCTCTTGCTGCATTGTGGGTAAAGTGAAGGACCGTATCTTACTCTCTCGCACAGCAGTCGTAGTGAGCAGTCTCCTCTCAGCAGGTGATTCGGTTCCCATCTGCCTGGGACACTCATCGTTTTGTGGAGGTACAAGTTTTATCTTCCTGAGCGGCACTCAAGCTCCTTGGAGATGTTTCATGTCTTGTCTTCTCCCTCTAGAGCAGAAGCGGTAGACACGCTTTCTACTTGCTGCTTAAACCGACTGAATGCTAGCCTCCATCTTGGACCTGTACCCGAGGAGCTACATTTGAGTGCCTTTTTACCAGGAAGCCTTTGTGACCATCTTATGTCCAAAAGTTCAGTCATGGAATCTTCTAATGCAGAACTTTGGAGACCGAAAGAATCACAGGTGGCTTGAGACCCTGCTCAGTAGAACTGTGAGGAACGCGGATGTTAAGTGATGATGAACAAACAGGTTTTAGAGGAAAGTTCTGGCAGATACTAGATGGTGTACTGCATCCTCATAACAAGCAAAATAACAGCACAGAGCAGGGCTTGCTAGCTGCAGGTGAATGCCCTGTGTTCAGATCAGGGAGATACCTGAGAAGGTCCTGCAGCAAAGAGGGAGCTGAACTATCCCTGGATGCGTGTGTCAGTGCCTCCAGCTGCCAGGATCTGAGCAGGAAACGTCCTTGGGAGCTGCTTTCTTTCTCACAGCTCTTGAGACAACAGAGACCAAGCGGAGGTGACCAAGGGACTCTACAGAGACACAGCAAGAAAGATAACTTTCCTACCTAAGAATTGGAAGGTTAGATGTTGCTTCCCTGGCCTGCCTGCGAGTTTCTTGTCCATGGGGTGGGATTGGGAACTGGTGGTGTATGCACCCCATAAAGCTCCCTCCAGATCTAAGTTCAGATCCTGGAAGGGACAGCAGAGGCTAATGTGAATTGTCCTAGAAGATTTTTTTTTTTAATATATTTTTGCAAGGTACGGTGTGTGCAGTTTCTCAACTAAGAAAATTCTAAACCAAGGTGTATGCTTTGTTAGTTTGTGTGGCACCCTGTCAGAGTTCTGCTTCCTCCCAAAGGCCTTGTGAGTGAGGGAGCCAGTCTCCCCTTTTGCAGGTGCAGAAGGTAATAGGTGCTGCTCAGTGAGTATCTCCTGGGGCAAGCAGAGGACAAGATGCTTTTGTTTCTTATTGACCTAATGGGAGGTGGTGGAACCAAAGTTAGGGACTTACCCAGAGTCATTAAGTGACAGTGCTTAGAGTCCTTCCAACTTTGAACACCACCACGCTGCCTTGAAAGATGGAGAGATGGCTCCAGAAGAGGCATGAGGGGGCAGCATTTTTTAGCTGGTAAGAAAACTTGGGAAGCCTATAATGTCCCATACAAGTTTATATGAGAAAACAGCTTGGGGCTGGATCTACCTGTGTTAGGTCTAACAGGTTGATGATACGAGACAGCCTGTCCCATGAACATCTTAAGGTCTCTGTCACGGACAGAATCCTGGGCCAGACCACAGTGTGGCAACTGTCAACTGATGTGGAACTTTTCATGAGTCTGTGTGATCAGTTTGCTCTCTGCTTCAAGATTATAGTACTTTTGATATTAACCTGAAACGCCATTGATTCTACAGAAAAGCAGAATAATATAAATTGCAAAATGGAGAACTCTATATTCTGACCCTATCCAAAATATTAGAGGACCCTAAACCCAAACATGTAGATGCCACCTGACTCACAGTTGCCCAGATTCAGGAACACTTCTGTGTTTCTTCTGTGTCTTGTGGCCAGGACACAGGAGAGGAGCAGCATAGTGTTCTCTGACTTCGGGAAATAGAAAGGTAGCAAGTGTCACCTGTGATACAGGTGTATGTCCTTGTCTGTGACTCGCTGTCTCTCAAGAGAAAGTGGACTTTACTGTCTGTCCTCACTGGGGTTTCTGGGTAGTCCTCAGTCTTTGTTGTCCTAGTCAGAGGTCCCAGAGCCCTGGAGGACTGTCTAAGACCAGCCTGTGGGCGGGGGCTTTATCTTGGATACAGATGTAAAAAGGCACCATGGTCACGTCAGCCCCTGGGCAGCCGTGTGAGATGGGACATGTACCTTAAGGGTGCCAAGCCCTCTTAGGTGAAGGAGGACACCTGGGCTCACCTTTTCTTGATTTTGGTGTCTGCAAGCATCTTTTCAGATGGAGCTCCAGTTTAACCAGACTGACTCTAGGTGACTCAGGTAACTACAGTCCAGTGGGAGGGGTCTCCTGGCTACTCCCCCACTGTCATTTTCTGGAAACTGGGTGCTTTGTCACTACAAGTGGTGCTTTTCCTTTGTATAGCTAGTGGTAAGCTGTCGTGTGTCTGCCTGGTCCCTTTGGGGACCAGGAGCTGTTTGTCAGAATGGGTGGCTAAGTTTGTGTCCCAGTGGGTCCAGGAGAGGCAGTGCATTTCATTCCAGTGTGTTCTCGCTAGCACCCATGTTTGGAGCACCCTTCCAAAAGTGCTGCTTTTCACTCTCAGAGCAGGGTGTGGAGTTGCCATAGGAATTCTCTGAACTGGGAAGCATCTACTAAGTAAGAAAGAACTACCAATAATTCTGCATGCTGTGTTTAAAAGTATTCTCTGAGTGGATTCCATGTCATGGGAGGCAGTACAATTACGTTTCAGTCACCAACTGATTAGCAAGTGCTTATGTGCTGGGTGTAGAGATTGTGCACCTGAAGATGCCCAGCCCCTGCGCCCAAGGGACCTGGGGCCTCATAGGGAAGAGGGCAGATAGAGCATGTACATGGACAACCTGGGGTGGGGTGCAATGGCTTGTGGGATCGGCAGTCAGGGATGGCCTGATGGTGCTACAGGTCTCAAGTCCAAATGGAACAATTCTCCCCATGCCTTATTTGAAAACGGTTGAGAATTCTTAAGAATATGAGATGCTTTCTTAAGTATATTCTGTCATCCAGGTTTTCAGAATAAGTTCTGTAGTCAGGCTGGCAGGGACTTCTTGCGTTGTCTCTGGCATGAGGAATAGTAAGTCATCGGGCAGTTTGCCCTCTCTGACATGGGATGGGGCAGGGGCAGATGTCAGGCTGTATCTGTGGGTATGGTGTGGGTGTGTGGGCTTGAGAAAATGCGAAGGGCCTTGGGGTAGCATGTCTGTTGGGCTGTTTTTCAGTATTTGGGGTGTTGTACCCTCTGGATTAGGTTTGCTCTGTGTGACTTTTGGAGACAAGCCTAGGGTGAGGAAGGTGAGAGTTCCGTGATGTGCTTAGGGAAGAGGTGGATTATTATCAGAGCTGGCCTGACTCATTCCAGGGGCACTGCAAGGTGGCCATGTGGACATGCTCAGGACCTCTGTATGGGCCCTTGGATTCTGTGACCATCCAAGTACCGGGAGGTCCTGCGATTCTGTATGGAGCCTATTCAAAAGGAGAGGGGTCATGTCAGGTGAGGTACCAGCTGCCCTCTGGGAACTCCCATCCCAAAGATTGCCAGGCAATTGGGGTTAAAGGCCCTTGGATTTTACTGGGACTGCAGCAAAGCTTCCTGGGTTCATCCACTGCAGGAAAATGAATCTTGGAAAGCCTCAGGGGGCTCATCAGGTTTCCCCGGCGTGCAGTTAGGCTCCGTCTCCTGTGTGCCAGCAGTGGTGTCTGCTGGGCAGCAAAGGCTGCAAGACCAACAGCCACTGTTTACTGAGTACTTACACAGTGCCAGACACTACTGTGTGGAGTGTCTTGTTAGTTCTTTGATCTACTCCTAGGGTAAGTGTTTCACCTTCATTTAGGGGCAAGGAGAGATTCACCGATTTGTCTGGTATTGCAGACAATGGAACCAGAAGCCCTGGGCCTGAAGCCAGCACTGGGTGGCTGTGATGGCAGGGGGCTTAACTACGACAGTCTTCCCCACATCAGTGGTGCCCAGTGTGGAAGCTGAACTCCATTGAGTCTTCTAAGGTGTATCCTTGCAAACTGAAGTGTTTTCATGTTACATTTTCAATTCCATTCTTCCCAGTCCCTACAACCATTCCCCCTTTAAATTCCTCTAGCCTAGTGGTGCCAAACCGTTTTGAGTATGAGGGTTCATTTTTATCATCAGAAATCTTCTGAAACTTTCACATAACAGGTGTGCTTTGAGTAACTGTTTTAAAGAAAATTTGAGGGCAGAAGCTACTCCTAATGCAGCCGTGCTTTGAAATGAAGTTCTATCTTGTCATCAGAACAGCATCAGTGTAATTCTCAGAACAGCCTTACCTGTATGTGTGTGACACCTGGAATTTGATCTTTGTGCTGCCTCCAGTTGGGGGCCTCCTGTCATCCTTACTGCCTCCCTTTTCTGAAACCTTGCCTGGCTTAGTCCAAGACCATCTCCCTCAGGAACCATTCATCATTTTAAAACCGTGTATTCCTGCTGATAATGGGGCTTGTTGGTTATGTTTTCCATGTGATTGTGAGTGCCCCAGTAGCAGAGCAGGAGTTGCTGCCCAAATATCTAGAACTGCCACAGCATGTGGGTGCCCAAATACTTGGTGCTTTTACTGTGAACAGGGCCAGTTTTGGGAATGGCTGTCAGCGTTACTGAGCACGTCCTAGGTGCCAGCAGTTTTCAGCACTTCTGCATTCAAAACACATGTAATCTTTATAGCAGGTGTAGATTAAACAGGAGGCAGGTGCTAGTGAGGAAACTGAGGCTAAGCGGACACACAGCTGGAAGGAGGCTAGGTGGGGAGAGACAGGGATTGGAACACGCCCACCTGCTGTCTGCCTCCCATGTCACCTGTGAGAGGGCAGTGGGCACATGCTGTGCAGGCACTCCCCTTTCCTGCCTGAGTCCAGCTCTTTATGCCAGCCTTATCTGTACGCTGCTTTTATGCCAGGCTGGGAGGACAGTGGTCCCTGAAATACTCTGTGCTTTCTCTGGAACCGGCTGAGGAAGGGGTATGAGGTGTGTTTTCCTCTTTCTCATCTGTTATTTTTCACTCTTAACAGAGAAGGCCACGCTTGATCCCTAGGCACTGTTCAAATGCCACCTCATCTGTGAAGCCTGGGTCCCCTGGGATCCTTCAGCCTTTTTTGGTCATGTGACCAAACATTTGGCATTCCTGGACACATACCTCCCTAGATTTTCATTTGCTGTGGCCAGAAAGTGGGGTGCTGCTTTGTCCAGGCTACACACTGTGGTGGGTCAGCCTCGTGGCTGCTGTGGAGATTGGTCACTTGTGTGCTGGGTACACAGCATGGTTTTGTAGGGCGGTGGCTGTGGCTGGCTTGACTCTGGTGGGGGGTTCTGTGGTGCGGGTGTCAGCAGTGGGTGAGTTACTGGGAGGACTCAGGTGCGTGTGACCTGTGGCCCACACTGAGATCCCAGTGGGCTGGCAGCACTCCCAGGCTCTGGCAGTCGCACGGCCTGCTTATGCCTTCAGCTCGGCAGTGTACTCTTCTCTGTTTCCCACCCACACTCCTGGTCACATTGGCTTTCTGGGCAGCCACCTGCACACACTGGGTTTAGGTTCTTATCCCCTTGATGACTTGTTTTGATGTCCCCCCTTCTAGTCATCAGGTTCCTGGCCCAGCTTCAGTTGGGTGTGGGGAGGTGGCCACATCCTCTTTCCCCCAGGGTGATGTGGTAGTTACCATGGCAGCTAACGGCCCTCCTGTTCTGCAGGCCAGCTCTCCAGAACCCTTTCTAGACTGCCCAACTCCATTCACCTCCTCGGGGCATCTTGCATGGTGCCTAGGCAAGCAGTCGTCAAGCTGGCTTTTCAGCGCTGTCAGTGGGAGATCCGTGATACTGATGTGAAGGGGTATGAAATAAGAACAGCTTACCCTTTTGGGTGGTAATTGGTTCACGTTGTTTCCTTCCGTGTTCAGTTGGCTGTTGCCTGCACAACACCTGTCTTTACTTCCTATACTAATTCTGTGGCCCGTCCAGCCCCAGAGGGAAGTTAGCACTGTTCTGATGGCGAGAGCTTAGACACAAAGGGGCTGATGGTCACTCAGGCCTAAAGGCAAGTTTTCGGTCAGGTGAGGACCTGGTTTCTCCCTTCCTCTTTTGCAGTGCTGCCATCACACTGTGGGGCGTCTTCCTCTCCATCCCAGCAGTTTCAGGATTTTCCCCTCACCGAACTCCCAGCTTTGCCAGAAGCCCCAGCAAACATTTCCTTATGCCTTCTCTGGGCTTTGATTGAATTAGCAGCTTGATTGAATTAGTTGATTGGTTTACCCCTGATCTGGTGTGAGTTCCACCCAAAAAGGCCCACAATAGAGGAGATGTTCCCAGGAGACACTAAGGTCCTGTTAACGGGAGAAGAGTAGTGGAGCCAGTGTCCCTGGATGGGCAGTGATGTCATCACCTCTATGATGTGACCATCAAATAGTTGGGCCTGCTGCTGGGCCTTGGATCCAGAAGGCAAAATAGGAGTAACTGAAAGGTAAGGTCGTGAGGAGCAACAGGGTGGTTTGGCTGGTGTGAGGTCACTGCGTGGAGTTGTGAATACCTTCTTGTTCTGGTTGAACCGCAGACTCTGCATTTGCCTGTAGTCACCCTTGGGGACCTCTCTGTCACACTGTCCTACTGCAGCTGCTGGCTGGCTGCAGCTTCAGATCCTGTTCTGAGCTGAAGAGAGTCTTGCATGGTGCTGTTTTTTCTCCCTGTCCTGCCATTCTCTCCTGGTGCTTGAGTTACTGCCTGGAGCGGGGCCCATGTTGGGAGAGGTGGTGCTGCCCAGGTGGCCTGAACCCCCCCCCCAAGGCCTCCTGCAGTCATGAGGAGACTGTGCTGTGACCCAGGCAAGAGCTGTGGCCCCTCCTGTAGCTTCTCTGAACTTATGAGCCCTTGGCAGAGGCTGGGAGATCTGTTGGGTCTGATTGTCCTGCCTGTTTTCTCTCATCTGTTCTTCCCCCCTGGGTAACCAGAAACTGATACCTGCGTTTCCGTGCTTGGCTTCTTCCCCTTCAGTTAACAGAGAGGAATAGAGTCAAGTGATCTTTTTTTTTTTTTTTGCAGCCCCATTTCCCCCAACCCCACCTTATGTTTCTGGGGGCTCTCAGTAACCACCTGATGTTGGTATCTGCTCCCCTTTTGCCTGGCAGTAGCAGAAGTGGGCTACATGTTAAGTTTTAGGCTCCCCTGTGAGGGAAAGGTTTATAAATGGGTATTCCACCTTCACTTCTGTCTTCAGGGAGTTTCTCAAGCATTTCATTTCTCACCTTGATGGTTGCTGGGCAAGCAAGTGCTGCCCCTGAGTGAGGAGCCTGTCTTCTCCCAGAAGAGCTTCAGCACTGCCCTCCTGCGAGCTCCTCCTGCATTTCTCCCCCTCGTTTTCCCTTCTTTGAACACTGAGCTTAAATAAGTGCTGTTTGGGATTGAAATTAGGGTGGGGAGAAAGGAGAGGGAATCTTTTCTGTTTCTGGTCTTCGGCACTGTGTGTGTGTGTGTGTGTGTGTGTGTGTGTGTGTGTGTGTGTCTCCCCGCGTGTCCGCCTGTCTTATGGATGGGCTGCTTCATGTGTTGGGAAAGGCAGTAGCTCCTGAGTTTGACCTGTTGTAGAGAGGAATTACTTTCTAGCTTCCAGTTCTGGAAACTTCAGGAGAAGCACTCTGGCTTGGCTTGGGGGTGGCATGAGAGGGCCTTGTAAGAAAGTGGCAGTGCCCACAGGAAGTTTGGGAGGAGTTTCCAGAAGGAGCAGGGTCTTTTGTGCAGACAGATACAGCATGTTCCCCCTGGCTGCTACAGTCCTGTATACCTGAAGGAAAGTAGTGAAAACCCTGGCCTGGAGTGGGGAGTGGGCGCCTTAGGTGTTCGGGTGTATTTGGCAGTTGGTATTTGCACTGGATGTTACGCACAAGACTTGCGCATTGCCTGTCAGCCCAGTGAGGAGTTGGGGTGTGACCAGACGGGTACTACCTCCTCATCACCCTGGTGACGATGCTTCTGTGTTGAGAGCACTGCGGACGTGGTTTCCTATCTGATCACTTGGTGGGCTCCCTCAAATTGGGAAATAGGAAGGAAGTGGTATCATCCGTCTGGGAAGATGTCATGCCAGGTTGTCTTCTCTTTAGGGCGCCGTCCTCTGTGCTCATCATGGACACTTGGAATGAATGACAAGGCCTAACAGTGAGAGGTGTCTGCCTCCCTGGTTCCCTTGCCCCTTGCTGCATTGGTCTCTCTTTTCACTTCTCAACTCCTTCCAGCGGTGCCTGCTCTCCCCAAGCGTTTGGCTTTGCGTAGCACTGCTCTTGCTCTTCGGCCCTTAAGATTTTCCCCAGGTGGTCTCAGAACCACAGCCTCCATGGCACCTGGACAGTTGCTCTCCAGCGCTGTCTGCTGTGCCTGGATGTCCAGACAGCCCACTCCAAAATGGATACACCTTCACCTCTGCCCTTGGCATGCTTTGCTGTGTCTGCTGGTGGTGCCATGATCTACCGCTCTGTGGACCACTTAGGGCCATCCTGGAGTCCTCCTTCCTGTAAGCTGGACCTCTAGGGGGTCTACTGCAGCAGCGTTCCAATCAGTCTCCTGCCTCTGTGTGTCTGCAAACAGATTGGGATGTTTGACTTCTCTGGTGGGGTCATGTTGCTGACTGGATTGGAGTCTCAGCTCATTAGGTGGCATAGAATAGAGAAGACATAGAATAGAGAAAAGTCCTCTTGGGTGGACGACTTAAGCAGAATGGAGTTGGAACCGTTGACTGCCATTCACCTTGCAACCTTCAAGGAGATTCGATTTGCAGCCTTTGTGTTTTTCCAGAAGGCTGTAAGAAATGCGGCATAGAAAGGCTTTTAGGAATGGGACGTGGCCCTGTGCTTGAAGCGTCCTGTGTGCTCACATACATGGTACCTAATAATTCACAGGCTTGGTGGTGGGCAGCCCATCTAGCTCCCATTGCCTTCCTCCTGGTCTCTACATCGTACTTTTCCTGAGAGCTACCCCTTCCTCTCTCCAGTCCATGCCTTGTGGATGGTTAGTAACTTAGGTGGGACGGGCCAGTTATGGGTTTGCATCTTGGGCAGTGATTGGTTTGGAGACAGACCTGTGACCCAGTCAGAGCCTGTGAAAGTTGTAGCACTTTGCTGGAGTAGGGTGGGGAGACTTGACTGGGAGAGGATGTGAGCTGGCTTCTGCTGGGGTTTCCTGCCTGGGGGCAGCCTGTCCAGCAGTAAGACCTGGTCAGAGGAGTGAAAGGACTAAGACCTCATGGCTTGGCTGGTCTGAGGCGGACTCTGCCTCACACTTTTTTGTGTGTGTGTGTGTCAGAGTGTCGTTCGGTCACCCAGGCTGGAGTACAATGGTGTGATCTTCTGCTCACTGCAACCTCTGCCTTCCGGGTTCAAGTAGTACTCCTGCCTCAGTCTCCCGAGTAGCTGGGATTACAGCCACCATGCCTGGCTAATTTTTGTATTTTTAGTAGAGATGAGGTTTCACCATATTGACTAGGCTGGTCTCTTGGCCAGGCTGGTCTTGAACTCCTGATCTTGTGATCCCGGCTCCACCTTCCAAAGTGCTGGGATTACAGGTGTGAGCCACCACCCCTGGCTGCCACAAACTTTTAAGCTAAGCGAGCCTGTGGTTTCCTTTCTTGATTATACCCGTTTGAGCTGACTTTTCCATCACTTGCAGCCGAGAGTCAGGAATCATCCAAGCACGTTGTGCCCCAGGATCTAGGTCAGGTGGCCTCTCTTGTTCCTCTCCTGCTCCAGCCAGGCTCAGCTGCTCATCAGTCAGCTCCTGACCTGTTTGTGCACTCCACCTGATAACCTGCCCTGTCTCTCTCCTTGCCTCTCTGGGCTCAGGGTCCAGAGCCTCTGGTCAGCAGCCCTGTCTTCTGATTGTTCCAGGCATCCTGGTCTGATCTTTACCGCAGCACCTCCTGTAACCGGTCTGACGTGCTGTCATTTCCCCCACCCCCATTCCCCTTGAAGGCAAAGACTGGTTGGTTCTTTTCTTGCTGGTATGTAGTGAGCCATTCATTCTGTTTGGGCCAGTAACTAATTTACAAATAGATGTGGGTCCATTTCTGACTTCAAATTACAGAAGTAGCATTGCTTAACCAGGGCGGACCCAGTTGGTTTTGGGGTAAGAATTCAGGCTAAGTGGGGCATGAGCAGGGTAGTCATTTAGCTCACGAGTATTGGGGTGGAAGTGGTTTGACTGGACTTGGCCAGACCCCTGGAGGAAGCCCCCTCCTGTGATGGTTACTTGGCTCTCTCCAGACTTCAGCCCTTTCCATTCCTTCCATGGTTCAAGGGGTCTGTTGGAGCCATAGTGGCATGGAGCCATAGTGGCATGGTCTGCACACAGGAGCTGTGCCTGTCCTGTGTATATCGCTCAGTTCCACTGGGTCTGGGAATTCTAGAAGCTGTCAACAGGGCCTAGTGGCCTGGCGAACCCCTCAGGCCCACATGAGCCTGCACATGCCTCCTCCCTCCCTCAAGCCAGGCCTGGACAGATACTCCCCACCCACTCCGCCAACCCCCGTTGTTTTTTTTTTTTGTTTGTTTTTTGTTTTTTTTTTAGATGGGTTCTTACTGTCACCCAGGCTGGTGTGCAGAGGCACAATCGGCTTACTGCAAACTCTACCTCCCCAGCTCAAGTGATCCTCCTACCTCAGCTTTCTGAGTAGCTGGGACCACAGACACGTGCCACCCACCCTGCTAATTTTTTGTAGTTTTTGTAGAGATGGTGTTTCACCATGTTGCCCAGGCTGATCTCAAACTCCTGAGCTCAAACAGTCTACCTGCCTTGGCCTCCAGAGTGCTGGAGTTACAGGTGTGAGACCCCACACCAGGCCAGACATTACCCTTAGCACATCCTCTGGACCTTAGCTCGAAGACTTTAGGTCCTTCTCAGCTGCTTCTACTTCGGTGTCCTTGGAGCAGATCACTTAATGTCTCCAAGCCTCAGTCTTTTTACCTGTGACATGGAGCTGTCATTGCCATCACCTGGTGATACCATCCTGTAGGGCTGAGGCGTGTTGAGTGCCTGGCACAATCCCTAACCTCCATTTAGTAATCCTGATCCTGAGGATGCTGGTACTAGCTCCCTGTGACAGATGAGGAAAGGAGTTTGGGGTGTTGTCTTTGCCAGAGGCCATGCGGTTGAAAGTGGGGAAGTGAGGATTTGAACTCCATCAATTCTGTCACCAAGCCCAGCGCATAGATCTCATTGAATCTAGTTACCAATCCTACTTCACAAACCAAGGGCTGGACATCATCATTTGGTGTAAATCTTTATAGGGAACTATAGGAACTTTATCCTGGGGCCGTAAGAAAAATGGTTACGAGGGCAACAGCATCAACTCTTACTGTGTGCTCACTCTGTGCTAAGAATTGTCCCGTTTCATAGATGGGATAATTCAGGAAACTGGAGTGTAGCCAGGTTAGGTCGCTGGCACTGCACAACTGTGAGCCCAACTCCTTGTGCCCTCAGAGCCTTTGCTTTCATCCAGAGATGACACTGCTGCCCACTGTAGAGGGAAGTGGGGTGCACATGAAGCCAGTGCCACCTGAATTGGACAGTGCCCGGCAAGCTCATTGGGTTGCCTGTGCCTTGGGTGGAGAGCTGGGGACTCTGCTGTCTTTTTCTACCTCAGAAGTCGGGAAGGTTGTGCCTGAGCTGGTGTGGAGTGCAGAGGGTCCCCTGTCCCTTCCTCAGCCAGACATGGTCTCCAGTGTCTCTAAAGCCTTTGAGCCATGCCAGCTCCAGTTCATGAGGTCTTTTCTTGTGGAGAAGAAGGGAGTCTTTTCATTTCTTATGGGTAAGTTAATGAATAGGTTTAACAATCAACTAGAAATCCTCTAAGCCTCTTCTCCCCTTCTGCCAAAGAAAGGGAGATGGAAAGAAAGAAAAGTATTTAATATGTAAGAGTTTGGGAGTTAGACCTGGATTCGAATCTTGACAGGTCTGTCTCCAAGTTGTATGTCCTTGGACAAATCACATCAAATATTTGCTTATCAGTGCTATTAATACTTTCTATAAAGTGAGGACATCCCTGTCCTACTAAAGGTAAATATTGCTGGATACCTAGTAGGTACTAAACATGTATAAGCCCCTTCTCGACTTTTCAGGAAGGAGCCAGGGGATATACCATTCCCCTAGATGCGTTTGTAGATACCGAACTTTGATTTTCACAAATGCTGTTCTTTTTCAAGGATAGTCTTTGCTTTAGTGTCAGCAACGAGCAGTTACAAGACAACATTGCATAATTTACACATTTCTAAATGCTCCCTTGGGGGTAAACAGGAAGAAATTAGTTGTAGAACAAAATCCCAGATGTCAGGAAGGAGAGGCACACTTCCTTGGAAGAGGTACTTAGGCTGAAATTCACAATCAGGCTTAAAACCTGCTTAGACTTTTCTAAATCTCTCTGTGCTGCAGTTGTAGATAGGGATGATTAAAATACAACTTTGTGCACATAAAACTGCCTTTCAATATTCAATATCCTTCCTGTGTAGAGAGATACTTTAGAATTAACAATCGTGGCCAGGCACAGTGGCTGAAGCCTGTAATCCCAGCACTTTGGGAGACCAAGGTGGGAGGATTGCTTGAGGCAAGGAGTTTGAGACCAACCATGGCAATATAGTGAGACCTTGTCTGTACTAGAAATCACAAAAATTAGCTGGTGGTGGTGGCATGTGCCTGTAGTCCCAGCTACTTAGGAGGCCAGGGTGGGAAGATCGCTTGAGCTCTGTAAGCTGAGGCTGCAGGGAGCCAAGATGACGCTACTGTACTCCAGTTCAGGCGACAGAGCAAGACCCTGTCTCAAAGAAAACAAAAAAAAACAAGAAGTAAGATCTCCAGGATTTTACTGGACAGAATAATGTTGACGTAATTGATTCTTGGAACGTATACTTTGCACACAAACATGTGGGCAGAATGGCCGTGGCAGGTAATCAAGACTGGATGTGAAGCCAGCCTGTTGCTGTTTTATCTCTCCGGGCCTATCTCCCACCCCACCCCCCACAACCTGCATCACCCTGCTGGCTGAGAGCTACTGTCACCCTCCTGGAAACTATTTGTGTACCAAGAGGCATAGACATGCTCTCATCCTTTGACCCAGTAATTCTACTCTTGGAAGTTTATTGACAGACTGAGCTTGGTGGCTCACGCCTGTAATCCCAACACTTTGGGAGGCCAAGGTGGGAGGATCAGCTGAGGCAACAAGTTCAAGACCAGACTGACCAACATAGCAAGACCTTGTCTCCATTTAATTCTTTTTTTTTTTTTTTTTAAAGGAAGTTTATTTTTAAGCAGCATGGGAGAAACTTCAGAATCATGGTGCATCCTCAGAGTCAAATAGCTTATAGCCGAAAGCATGATTCTGAAGGTTCTATAGAAAAATGGGCAGGCCTTGCTATGGGGGGAAAGGAGTGGTTTTGTCAGTCACATACAACAACGAAAGGCATCTGGATAGGCCAGTGCCTAAAAAACTAGAACCTGGGGTAAAATGGAAGCACTTGTGTTGGTTGGGGCAGGGAGAATGGGTTGGTTTGTTTTCCCCTATGCTCCATTGTCTTTTCAATTAAACTGTAAAAAACTGAAAATAAAAGTAGACTGCTCTGGCTTGAAGAGCACTTGAGCACTATTGAGAGCAATCGGCTGTGGAGTGGATTGCAGGCCTCTGTGTACTGCAATCAGTGGAGAGGATTATTTCCCCTTGCGTGTGTTTCCAGGAGGTTCAGAGCAGTGGTGTGCAACATGACACTCCAGTCAAGGCCACCAGTCATGTTCTTCATGTTCCCAGAGGCCTGGGGTCTATCCCACCCGGACTGACGGGACATCACCTGGTTTTCTCCACACAGTGAAGCCACACCCCATGGCTCTGGTAAACACCCTGGAGTGGTCCATGCCTCTACCTTCCTCCCACCTGTGAGGCCTGAGGGCCTACTGCCAGGATGCTTATTCATCGTCCCTCCTCTCTCCTCCATCTCAAGTCCGACCCTGGCCATCTTCCTCTTGGTCCTGCCCCTTCCACACTGATAAACAGATGACTCCACTGTCACTTCACATCCTTCAGTGGTTTTCCATCCTTAGAATAGACGCCAACACTCCTTATTGTCATGATCTACACACATGCTACAGGCCTCGGGCCCTTCTTTCCTTTCTCAGCCCAACTTGAACCTTCTCCCTCATTCTTGTGTGAGAACCTTCTCCCTGATCCAGTTCTTGTGACAGTAGGACTTCTTCAGGC